GAAAACTCAAGTCTTCCAAACAGTTGCACTTACCTTGCAGCTAATAAGATAATGCTCATTTTTTTTCCACCCATGGAATGAGAATTGCCAGATAAGCTGAATTCAGAAGAACACTTTGCTAACATCCAGTGAATAAGGGAAAAGGCAAGGTAGTTCCAAAAACACATATTTTTGCTTTATTATTGTTTACACAAAAGCTTTTGACTGTGCAGACCATAACAAATTGTGGATAGCCCTTTAAAAAAACTGGGTGTATCATCTGGCCATTGAATTTGTAAGGCAGCAAGAGATAGTTAGAATATAAATATATTTGGGAAAAGCATGCATCAAAATTGTCTAATGTCACATTTATTTTAACCTATATGCAGAATTTATCACAAGAACCCTAGACTAGAAGAAATAAAAATTGGAATTAAAATTACTAATAGAAACACCAACAACCTCAGATTGCTGATGAGGCTGAAATGAGGAACACCTAAGGAATCTCTTGTTGAATATGAAACAGTGTTGCTGCTCAATATTAAAACAATAAAAACTTTTAAGATGTAAACAGGCAACACCAGCTTCTTGCAAATAGGTGAAAAAGTTGCTTGGAAAAATGAAAGGCAGTTGAGAAAGAGGCGGATAGAAGAGGAGGCTAGATATTCTCATTGATGACATAATTCAAAGAGTTGGAAGCAACAGCAATATTCTTTTGATGAAACTGAAAAGGAGATGGACAATGTCAGCCCGATTCCCCTGAATAATATACTGCAGGATAGGATGAATACCACTGGATGCTTCCTATGCATTCCTATAATACCACTGATAAATCACTTAGTAGCCTTAATTCTTTTGGAGCTGTTCAGTCTGTATTCAATTTTTGGTATCCTGAATAACTGGGGTGGGATCAACCAACTTTGTTCGGCGCTTAAGCCTGACTCTGAAGCTCTGATGGATGGATGAAAAAGTTTAGTCCCCTCCCAACATAAATACTTGACACATCAGTTTTCATTTGCAAGAACTTTTTATGTGTTTATGATAGAAAGATTCCAGCCAAGCTATTCATGTAGTGGGCATCTGAATTTGCTGGTATTGCACATTGGTGCGCCACAAGCGAGTGTGGCACTTTTATGGTGCCTTTATGCGCTGGGATGAAACTGCCACGCCATGCAGGATCTCAGACGGGACTGTGGGAGTGTTCTTTTAGAGCAGTGTTCCTCAACCTCAGCAACTTGAAGATGCGTGGACTTCAACTCCCAGAATCCCCCAGCTGGCAGCTGGGGGATTCTGAGAGTTGAAGTCCACGCATCTTCAAGTGGAGGCTGGGAAACACTGCTTTAGAGAACGGCATGGTGAAATTAATTGGAAGACCCGCCTTTCTGGGAGAGGAAGAATTTCTGCATATGCTCCGAGGAATTCAGCCTGTGGCACTGGATTTTTTAAAAATACTCGTTTCATTGGGATTTCATTCTTTCGTTCCATCGGTTCGCTCCGCGGCCGAGCCACACGCAGACAAAGCTGGCGGCGTTCCTCCCGCCCCCCACGTGCCCGGGAAGGCCCTGAAACCGCCCGGCCGGTCGCCACGGCAACGGACGCCGGCGCGGTGCATGCTGGCCCGCAATAAAATGCAACAATAAAACCCGGGGGGAGGCGGGGGCGTCCCAGCCAATAGGCCGCGAGGCGTATTGTTGCCGCCAATGACCGTTGCCTGCGGGACGGGGCGCGGCGCGTTGGGCGTGGCCGTGGGCCGGAGGGAGGAGCGAAGCGACCGGCCGGGGGCATTCGAGGCTTGTCGCGGGTGAAGGAGGGCAGGGCGGCTGAGCGCGCGCGCGGGCTT